ACTGTCTACTGCCAAACTTTATTGACATAAATACGATGTCCTTCATCTAGTACGGCGCAGAATATGAAGACAATCTCGATGGCTATGGTGGTGTCTATCATCGTTTCGATCACGGTCGCCTTACCTCTCAGGGTAAGTCTGCGCACGTTTTCTATATTCTGGAGAATGGTTTTCAGATTATGATATCTCAATGGTATGATACGATCATCATAGCGAGAGATCACTCTTGTCCACGACTTACGTGATGGAGTACTGAAGCGTGCAGCTGATGTCGGTCCCGTCGATCTTGGAGAGATTGTTGGACATTAGAAAACTCCGGTATGCTGCAAATAAGTCGAAAGCAAGGGAGTCGGCTCACTTTCTCGTGCTCAGCAAGCCATTCGTGCGCTTCATGCCTCTGTGGGGTATTGACGACCAACACTCGCCAGAATCTCAACTAGTGGTCTGGTAGGGGATCATCCGGATGTTTGAATAACTTCTGTACAATTTTCACGCCACTCGTACTATTATCAGCTCTGGGATTATAACTTTCGGGCAAGGATAGCTGATGGTTCCCTCCACTTGGCCGACAACAAATGAAATCTCACGGGTGTATAGTTGTCCTGAACTATTCAACCCAATGTGACTCTATTGAATCAAAGAGATATCCTCAGCATTCACTTAAGACTGAGGATTAAGATGGTTCCCCGCATGTTCGGAAATTAGTTGAACTGATCCCCTCCCATGAGAATCACACCATGGGACTAAATATAGAATACATCTTCACGTACTCTATGAGATCATCAAGATAAAAAAAAAAACTTGATGCAGAGCAAGTGGCAGTGCTGGTCACTTTTGTTGTCGACTGACATATAGATTTGTGCCGTCTGAATGATCCCACCTATGTTCCGGTTAGAACACTGGGCCATGACAGGGCGATTCGATGGGATTCTCTCGAAACAATGACGATAAACACCCTTATCTACTCTTCATAGGCGTCCGCAATGTCTTCACAGCCCACTCAATGTCTAGCTTACTGAACTCCCATTGTGATTGGTGGCGAAGGACGAATAAATCAGCGATATAAATTAATGATTTAACTACAGTTGGGACAAGCCGCGTTGACCGCATAATTTTGGAGTGTGATCCCCTGGCGAATCCACTTTTCGGCGTGTCGACACTCGACTGGTTGGCCAGTGAAGGGTGAGATTGTGTTTCCACAAATGACGGTCCACGAGGCGTACTGATGATTGCACGGGCGTCCATCACGAGCGGCATACGCTCCTGAGCACATTATCCGATACTAAAGTGGGTGCGATATGAGCTCATGGAAGAGTTTCGTGGCTCCAGAATACTGCACTGACCGTTGCGCAGTCGCAGCCGTATTGGTCTTTTTCTCGCCGGGGGAAGACGTTCATTGAATAAAGCTGCTGGAACTTCTGTGCGCTGATTGTCTTGATCGATGTATCCATGTGAAAGCCAGGCCTATGGAGATATGGAGTCAAGGTCAGGTGGGATGCACGAAATACAACATTTGAGTGTGAGTGCCATACATTTGGTGAGGATGATGTGGGATTAAAGGTGTATCGCGATTAGAGTGAGTAGTATTAGATTGTGTGAGAGGCTTGCTGTGATGTGGGGGTCCGTTACTGACTCCATAACGTCGAGAGAAGAGTCTTCTTAAACACTGTCCTAGGTGAGTCAGTCTCGAGCTCTCAGGAGGCCTTTAATGACTCTGTAAAGTGTGAAAAACAGTCACTGACTCGATTTGTGCACCTCCTGAGCCGTTGTTTTGTAAAAGAGGGAAAATTCGCCTGCCACAAGAATCAATCACCGCCCATCACCCGCTCTCTGACTCGTTCTCATTCAATGCGGTATCGCCTCTGGGATGAAATGGCGGCTAATATTTCTGTCCCAGGAATTGGCATTAGGTGAATTCGTGGTGTGATGGGAAGCCGTTGAACGTGGTGGATCGCATTCAGAAATGGAAATGAATGGGGCCAGTTGCCTTTCTAGGCCAGCGCTTAGCGGCTTGCTATACGATCTGCCGTCTTCTGTGGGCAGTGCCTATAGAGTGGCTACATCCCCTGAGCGTCAGTTTTATAAATTCTCCCTGTAGCGGCCTGGGAGTCATCAACGCTCTTATTCATAGCAGAATGACCTTGAACATTCTCGGTTTTCGATGCTCAATTTGGAAGGTGGAGGTTGGTCGGCTACGACGGCCGAGTCCGGGACTGCCGGCAACACACCACTTGGGTCTCTTCAGCATTGTCTTCGACGCTTGTCTAAGTGCCTGCAGAGCAGAAGAAGGTGATTTTTGACATAAAAGATATACTGGAGGATCCGGCGTCTCGAGTAAAATGCCAACTCGCCGCCCTACTAAGGGGATTCTCGCTCTCAGGCCTCGAGTGCTTGAACCCCGGTATAATGTGGCGTTACGCCACACATTTTGAACTAGCTAGAATCGGTGATCTGAGCCTGAAATTCCCTGCGCTCAATCTCAGGCTTGCTAATACGTTATCGCCAGATTCCCTCCCCTTGGAACGACCCATCGAACAAAGTTACCTATGGTGCCTTCTATATCTCATCTTCATTCCTAATTCCACCGGTGAGCTTGTTTAATTTTAGAGTTCTTTCAAACCTGCAGGTCTCACGAAACACTCGAGGCAGTTTTGTGAACAATGTTGGTTCGGGCAGATCATGTCGACGAACACTTTTCCCCCTATCCCTCGATAGCACTCAATCTCATACAGTAGTCATTTTCTCCGCAATCAAATTGATATGCAAAGGCGGTGCATCGTGGAAGATCACGATAATCGGGCAGATCCTCCAACGCCCGCTACCTAGGGCTGTGCAGGGCGCCTTCAGCCATTTGACAGCTCGAGTTTGGTGGCTCTCCTAGTTTCCGTGTCCGGGGTGGATGGGGTTTGCTCATTTCACCGTCGACAAGTCATTCCGCTGATTGAAGTACTGAAGACCGCCCACAGGATCTCGCGTGGCGGCCGTCAGAGCTCTCAAAGGGCAAGGTGTGTAATATCGATTGTTCTGTCATAGTAATTTCTTCCTCGAATAGCTGGCTCTTGGGGGCGGCAAGCTCAACCTCTCGTGAATCTATTATACTGCCCCCTCACTTGGACCTCTGAATGATGCACGTAATACCACCCTCCATAGTCATTCAAACCCAAAATACACAGGTGCTCTATGCGACAGCATCATTCGAGGTGTCCACGAGAGCCCCGAATCGCGTGGCTCAATGAGACATGGACTAGCGTTTTCAAATAAAACAAAGAGATGAATGATCGTCTGTTGAGAGACTGTCGTAGTCATTGAAAATAGCTACTGCCCCACATCTGGCAGCTACGTATCATAGCTCCGTGCTATTTGTTTGCACAACGGAGGCTAAACAATATGCTGAGCCACGAGGTCTCAGCTAATAAGCCGAGGCACCTGTTGGCTCGGGGTTCGATCCTGAGCATCCAGCGTGATTCCTGAGGACCCGAAGACTGCTGTTGTAGAACAAAAGTATATTTTGGGCACAGACACTGAGATTCTGCAACATTCCTCACGATAGGTGCCCCCCATCGAGCACGCTGCCACAAATCTCCCTGATATCTCCGATATTGACACGAGCACTACCATGGCAAGAGACTTGTTCATTTCCATGCAAGTGGAT